TTTATATAAATATAAAGCGTGACACCCACAGAACAAAATTGGTTTGTGGTGCCACAGTAGGAGGGCAACTTTAGAAGGTTGAGGTTGCGGGTTCGAATTCCATTGGGCACCCACGGACTCTAAATCCTGGATCTGCCTCTGCCTATGTCAGGTGTCATCCTAAAACTTCAATTATTATCATAAAAGTTATATCTAATTTATGTCGACTTCATGCATCCTTGTAATTTCGTTGATAGTATCATTCTCTTTTTCTTCTCCTTTCTCCTTCTATATCAAAGTGAATTGTTAATAATTTGTGTCTTCTAAAAACTAGAAAGTATCTCACAAAATAATGATATTGTTACTATTAGATCTTACTGACACCGATTCATTGACTCGAAAGGAGATATATTCAAATCCTAATGAACTTTCTTTTTCTTTTTCCTTCTATGAAAGTGATTTTTGTATTGTTATGACCAAATGTGTTGTAGTTATGATGGTTTACAATAATGGTTATAAAGGTTTGAGGGTGAAAATAATTGTTTGTATGAGGTGCTTTACTATATATATGTTAAAGTAGTTTGGCGAATATTTATTATATGTTAGGTGTATAGCATTATATATACACTATTATACATGTGACATACAAGTACATACACCGATATACAAGTGTATATATCATTTATGTACTAGATAAATTTGTCTAATTCGAGAAATCTCGAGATATTATATGTTTTTTGGTAGAGAATTTTTTTCTAATAAAGTCAAGTCAGAAAGGGTATCTTCATGTTAACCGATGAGCATATATAAAAAAAAAAACATAAAGTGCATCCTCAGAATACTGTGTAAATACAAGATATATTATGCATCAAAGCTTTCAGCATTTCTCGATTACTACATTGAACATTCTTTCTTATCTTTGAGCGTCTAAATATCTATCAATTTACTCTACAAGTATATACAACTCAAACCATATATTGTTTCGTCGTAAAAATCTGACCATTAATGTAATAGTCAAATCTATCATATATCGACTTCATGCATCTTCATAATCAGTGGCGGAATCAAAATTTTGATTAAAAGGTGTCAAAATATAAAAAAGTAAAATCATGTATAGAAACTAAGGAGTGTCAATATGTGATATATATAATATTTTTACCTAGCTACATACGGTAATTTCTGAGTGTTTAAGAAAATGTGGCTCCGCCACAATTCGTAATTCCACCGACGACATCCTTTTCTAAATTTTGAGTGCTTGTCTTCAAAGATGTAAAATAAAAGTCCTTTTTATAAGTTGTCAAACAAGTTGCTAATCAAAGAAAAAATATTTTGACTCTTCAAATTATAGAAGATTAAGATAACAACAGATCCAAAATTTAAAGCTTCATTAATTTATTTTATGTGTTCTTATCGCCAGTCATTATATTCTTAAAATTACATATTTGAACTTTAAAGATACTTCTAGTTAATAAGGCTAATTATTAAGGGTAAAAAACTTAAGTATATAACTTAAGTATCTTAATTACTAATTTATTTTTTGGACTTTGAATCCTAATTTTTTTAGTATTGAGAAAAAAAATCTGGGCTCAAGTGAAGTCATGCACCTACTTTGTATCAGCTTGTATGAATGAATATAACTTATGCCAACTCATTAGGTTTAGGGTGAGGTGGGGGTCATCAATAAGAAAAAAAAAATTAAAATATTTTCATAATTAGTTGTGAATATTCTAACTGAGCAGCACGTTTTACAATTGAGGTGAAAGTAGATGGAGACTAGGTAGGATAAAATACATCCTTATCAAAACTGATCTTGTTCGATACATCTCGATGAGGGGGGCTCCAAAAGGAGAAGGAGCAAATGAGAGATTTTCATATCATATGAGGAAATGTGATTTCTAAGTATCAACTTTAAAGATATTTTTAATTAATAACCCAATATAATTATATTTTTCAAAATATAGAAATTTAAGAAATATAGATATTTCTTAATTTCAGGCTCATATCTAATCTATTCTTATTAGCTATTCCTGATCCTTATCTTACAAGCACTCTAACCGTAGACCAATCCACTATTTACAACCTTTGTTATAAAACTCTGATTGTTGTCGTAATAGTAACATTTATCTTATGCTGATTTCATACATCTTTGTAATTTTTTTGATGCTATCGTTTTTTTTTTCTTTCTCCTTCTATTGTATCAAAGCAAATTATTAATAAACTTTTTCCAACAAAAGAACTTGAAAGTGCCTCACAAAATAATGACGTTGTGACTATCAGATCTTATTAACGTCAATTCATTTGCTAGAAAAGGAGATATATTCAGATCCTAATGAACTTTTTTTTTCTTCTTTTCTTCTATGAAATTGATTTTTGTATTGTTATGACCAAGTACATTGTAGTTATGATGGTTTACGGAAATGATTATAATGATTTGAAGGTCAAAATAATTAGTTGTATGGTGAATCTCACTATATATACATTAGAGTATATTTGGCAAAAATTTATTATATGTCAGATGTATAAGATGGCATTCAAGTACATACATTGTTATACGAGTGTATATATCATTTATGTAGCACATAAAACTTAATAGTTAAAAAAAATCTCGAGATATTATATTTTCATTTGATAGAGGATTTTTTTTTAATTAAGTCAAGATCTTAAACGACGAGCATGTATAAAATACCTAAAATACTTCTCCAGAATCCTGCATAAATATAAGATACTTTATGCATCAATCCTCAAAAGCATTTCTAAATTATTATATTTTTTCTGATCTACTGCGTTTAAATATTTATCAATTTACCCCAAGTATATATAACTTAAATCTTCTAGAGGGTTAGTTTAGACATTTCCAGTAGTATATCCTACCCAAAGAGGACTCAATGCTTATATGAGACAAAAGGCCACAGCACATACCAACAACACTTGCTGTCACTATGAAGCCCAAAAACTAAAGAAGAAGTTGCTTTTTTTCAACAAAACCTACCAACCCTAACCCCTAAATTCCCTCTATCTACTCCTATACCTGCCTTCCTGCCAAAGTTCTCTAATCCCAAATGATGTTCAGACATGAAACTCTAGGACCCATTTCAGCTGTTTGTTTCTATGTACATTCAATGTATCCCATCACAGATTTATAGATCTGTATAGCTGCTGATCATGGATCAGTCCTTTTTCAAATCTTGAATTCATGGTGTAGATTGAGTTTTGTGGATCTGTAGATGTAGAATTGCAACTTGGGTGTGTTTAATTTCATCATTTGGAGGGACATTTTGGTGGGTTTCTCTTATCTTGTTTGTTTGGTGTATGACTGCTAGGGTTTCTCCATTTTATTCAAGATTGAAGCTTTTTTAATCAAAGATTTGATTGTTTTTTTATCAAAGATTGGATCTTTAGCTTTACAGATGGCTGGTTATCAACAGAGAACTGACTTTATTTATGGGGTTTATCAAGAAACAGGATCTGGGTACTAGGTGCAGGAGGATTTTGGGTTTGGTACAAAATTCCCATAAAAAATTGGTTCTTGAATAGGTGAATTAGGTTGCATTGGGTGTTACTGTTGAGGAAATTTTTGAAACGAGTGTTGTGTAGTGTATTATCTGTTGAGGTATTGGTGTTAACATGTCCTTCAAGAGTATGATTCAGGACATGAAGGATGAGTTTGGGAGCATTTCGCGGAAAGGATTTCGCTCTAGGTCACATAGGGTGGTTCAGGATTGTACGGTGACACTCGATGCTTTGAGGCAAAGTTGTTGGGCTAATATGCCGCCTGAGCTATTGAGAGATGTACTGATGAGGATTGAGGAGTCCGACTCTGATTGGCGTCCGAGGAAAAATGTGGTTGCGTGTGCTGGTGTTTGCAGGAGTTGGAGAGAAATAATGAAGGAAATTGTTAAAACACCTGAAGTTAGCGGGAAATTGACGTTCCCAATCTCCTTGAAGCAGGTTCGTCTCTTGTTTTTTATAAACTATTAGTGTTGCAGTGTTGTATGCCTTTGCATTCTTGCTGTTTTGTTTTATGTTAGTTTAACTGAAGGTAGTTATCTGCATTGGGGATGAACCTTATAGTTGATGTTATATCTACTACCGTTGTTAGAAAAGCATTGTTTACTTAATAAACAAGCTACTGTTATTCATATCGACGATCTCATCTAGACATGATAAGTGTTGCATTTAGAAAGTCTCTAATTTGCCGTAGAAGGCAATATTTAGTAGGGATAATTATCTAACAGCAACATCAACCCTCTAATTACCCCTTATAGTGATAGTTTTAAAAAAAATACCAAACATAGTTGTACTTTGGATTTTGTAGCAAATCCCTAAAAGTATACCCTAGCTTCCCCTACTCTTCTCTTTTTCCCTTTCATTCCCATGTTCTTCTTTGTTAATATCCATGATTTAGACTTCCCCTAGCTCCTCTTTACTCTTTTTTCTCATTTCCTTTTTTTTCAAATGATTTTCAAAGTTGTAGCTAGAATGTTGATACGATGTATCTGGAATGTTTCTAGGCATGTGCATAGGACATTGACGCCCTACTGAGAAGGTGCGGGAGGCTGGTGGTAGGGGGCACGCAGAAGAATATAGGTAGGTTGAAAAAGTATTGGGCAGAGTTGATTAGTTAGGATATGATGCATCTTCATATTACCGAGTACATGATTCTAGATAAGGAGTAGAAGCCGTGTTTAGGGTAGAAGGTTAGTACGGGTTAAATGTTGTCTTTTCATGCGAAGGTTTAGACTTGTTATGGTCTGTTGTGGTACTTGTCGTACCCTTGTAGTTTTTGTCAATGTCGTTTGTTGTGTTTCAATTATCACACTCTTTTTCGGTTATTATTGTATTTTTCTTGTAGACTTTACATTGTTTTCTTATTAACGATTATGTTTTCTTCATTGGTTTCTTCTTCTTTTAAGTGGATTTGATACATTTGAGCAGATGATCTTTTGGATATAGCCTCTCCACCTCCACGACGTAGTGGAAAGGTGAGTGTATACTCTACTCTCCTCAGACCCACTTAGTGGAATTTCATTGAGTATGTTGTTGTTGTAAAGGATATTGAATGAATGCAAGTACAAAAGTTACAACAACAACATACTTACTGAAATTCCACAAAAGGGGTCTAGGAAGGGTAGAGGTTGTTTCCAAAAGACTCTCGGCTCAAGTGTAGCAAATTCAAGTACAAAGAAGAATAAAAAAATATAAAAAACATAACAACTATCAAGCAAAGCGGTGGAAAGCCTACAAGAACAACAAAATAATGTGATAATTGAAACACAGTAAACAACAGGCGACGATAGATATCAAAAGCAAGAACTACAATAATACGACTAGTACAACAACAAATAGCAACAAGCCTAAACCCGCGAAAAAACAAGACAACACTCCACTTCTAACCTTTAACCCTAGTACGCGTCTTCCACACCATCCTATCTAAGGTCATGTCCTCGGTAACCTAAAGTTGTATCATGCTCTGTCTAATCACCTCTCCCCAATACTTTTTTGGCCTACCTACTATAACCAACCTCTCGCACCTCCTTAGTGGGGCGTCTGCGCATCTTCTCTTCACATGTCCAAACCAGCTCATTCATACTTACCTCATCAAAGAAAGTTACAAAGAGCAAAACTTTACTCTTCTTTTTAGAAGGGGTGGTTACTCCAGTTGAAATGTCAAAGCAAATAGCTATTTCGAGCAACCATAACTTAGTTTGAACCATATAGCAAACCTCATAAATCCTCAGTAGTCAGTACAACTGTAGATCTTTATTCAGCAAGAGATGGGAGATAACTTACTTTGAACCATATAGCAAACCTCAGTAGTCTGTACGCCTGTAGATCTATTAAATCCTTAATTACAGCAAGCGATGGGAGATCTTTTGACCTTTATTACATTCTCATTTAAGTTTAACATTCATGTTCCCATTAGATTACTCTGTAGCACATTCAAGGTATTTTTATGGTATGCGTCACTCATGATAAATGTTTGTAACATGTTATATGACCATAAACAACTATAGACCTGCAACCTACTGCATTCTTATGCACTTGAGTGAAGATTCTGCTGAAGTAGTGTGGAAGACATTCTCAACTTAAGGCAGGATTATTGTTTATTTTGTGTGAGAGCAACTCCATCTGGAACTTTAGCGACATTTGGAAAGGTCCCGTTTTCTACAGCATTTAACTTTGGTAAATAACAACTATTGACTGATTATGCATTCAATGCACTCAAAAGGGGGGAGGGTAGGAGGGAGATAGAGAACAAACAGACGGAACAATTATTGCAACAGCCATGAAGAGAGATGATTATAGCTTATGAATGCAATATACTCAGTATATGCTTTATATATACCAAGGACTGAAAAATTCTGTCAACCTACAAGAAACCTTTTGGAATGATATTTTGCTAAGACTGCTAGCAACTATGTCTGTTGGAATTACTACTGAATGGTTGTACTCTTTCAAGCTGTTATCGAATTATCATCTAAGCTATATTTTACTTGTATCTGTTGCTCATACCACTTTGAGTTGATGGAACAAAACCAGTTGCTGCACACGTTTAATTTATGTTGATATATATTGTTCTCTAACATTTACATACCTGTGTACCTATTTCCCTTTTCCCAGTTAAAGTATGCAAACTAGAACAATCTTTATCTGCTTGCAAATCATTGTGAATGATCACTTTCTCCTCTTCCTGCAGCCTGGTCCAAGAGACAAACTTGTTCAATGTTTCATCAGAAGGAACCGCAGCTCACAGACATATTACCTCTTCCTTAATTTAAATGAAGGTGAATAAGCATTTATTTCATTTTCACTTCTTTCTTTCTAGGTGTATTAAGCACCCTTCTTGTATCTTTTCCCTCTTTTCCTTTTCAGTGTATCTTTTGGTACAATCAGATCATCGGAGGCTTCCTTTGCTATACCTGCACCTATATAGGATTTGTTTGCTTATATTATTCAGGCTAAATGATATTGCACTGACCTTCACTACTTGGCTTTTCATACAGTTGCTAACGATGATGGTAAGTTCCTTCTTGCTGCTCGGAAGTGTAAAAGGCCAACATACACAGATTACATCATTTCTTTAAATGCTGAAGATGTTTCCAAGGGTAGCAGCACCTACATTGGGAAGCTGAGGTTTGTCGCGCTAGTATGTCATTTGTTACTTTATAGTCATCTTGCTGACTGCTTTCTCCTTGCTGAACTTTGTAACAGATCCAACTTCTTGGGGACCAAGTTCACTGTCTACGATGCACAACCATCTAATGCAGGAGCTAAAGTCAGTAAATGTCGCTCTACTAGGTTTGTTGGGATGAAACAAGTCTCTCCAAGAATACCCACTGGCAACTATCCTGTAGCTCACATCTCATATGAGTTGAATGTCCTGGGGGCTAGGTAAGAGATAGTTCCTTTTGTGTGCTTTTATCTACAGGAATGTCCAATGAAATACTCCCTGCATGCCTAACTGGCTGGCATCGTTCATTCTTCAGTTGTCTATAAAATCCAATTCGCTCTTCTAAAAAGAACGTAAAAGTTAGTGTCAGTTCATACCAAAAAGTAAATGTCAAGATTAATTTAATAAGTTTTTGGTGTCATAAGAATATTACACTTTTAGAGGTTGAAAACAGAATGGCTACTTTTCTTACTGATTGAAGAAAGGGTGGTTGTCTACTTGTCTTTCACTTGCCAATTGAAATAAATTGTTTTTTTGTATCAGGGGGCCCAGGAGGATGCTGTGTATCATGGACGCAATTCCGGCTTCTTCTATTGAACCTGGGGGTCTAGCCCCTACGCAAACAGAATTTGTTCCGGTGAATGTAGATTCCTTCCCCTCCCTCCACTTTTTTAGATCAAAATCAACTCGCGTGGATAATTTCTCATCCGGGCCTTTACCAAGTCCAAAAGATGAAGTTCTAACTTTGAAGAACAAAGCTCCTAGGTGGCACGAGCAACTCCAATGCTGGTGTCTTAACTTCAATGGCCGGGTGACAGTCGCTTCTGTAAAAAACTTTCAGCTAGTTGCTTCTCTCGGGGATGGAGCTGGACAGGAAAATGAGAATGTTATTCTCCAATTTGGGAAAGTGGGAGAGGATTTGTTCACCATGGACTATCAGTATCCTATCTCTGCATTTCAGGCATTCGCTATCTGCCTCAGTAGCTTTGACACCAAAATTGCTTGCGAATGATGAGATAACAGGTGCTTCTTCTGTAGCCTTCTTCTCGAAAAAACCATCATTTGATGTTATGTGCTCACTTTGATATGATTCTGTAGCCTTGATTGATGTGTACCATTTGGTAATTAATTAACTGATAAAACGACTGTCCAAGACTTATTGTGTTGTCTGTAATGTATATACAATCTCTCATTTCTGTAATGATCGGTAGACTGAATCGTGCAGGTTCTGCAAGAAGTACTGAGGTGTTTGGATTGGGAGATTGCACTAACCCTATTTACGTTGGTTACTGAACTAACGCTCAGTTAAATTGCAGTAGGTATGTTTGTTGTTGAGGATTAATCACCCGTTCTTCATGCTCTTGGACCTTTCGTTTCTTGGATTTTTGTAAATAGACAAGGATGTTTTCACAGTTTGGTTCATCCAACTTAACTATTTCTGTTAGCACAATGTTGAACTGTAATACATATTGCACCTATCTCCTGTGTGAGATGTACTTTCATTTCTGAATTTTTGTGTTCTTTCTCATATAGTTCAGAACTGTATCATCTCATTTTGTTTTTATAACCAAGGAATTTTTGAATGAGACGCGAACTCCACGTAGAGATAAAAGACCAATGTTAGCCAAACAGGCTAGACGTTTTGGCCATCTTCTCCTTTAGAGTGGGGTCTGAGTTTCGTGTAGTTTGGGAATCAACTGGTGATCTCCTTATATGAATTTGGTTAAATCTTTACGTGGCTAGGTACGTGTAACGTCCTTGTCTGGCCTCCCATATTATATTGCCATGCTCGATATGTCGAGTTTGCAGTTGGGCGTGTAACGGGGTTTTAGAGTGGTTTATAGTCCCACAGTTATTGGGAATAGACGGATGGTCTTCTTTTATGATCTTGGGACAAACCTTTCCTAATGAATTAGGTTTTTTTTAATTAAGTTAGGTCCGAGTATCATATCTTTTACCGTATAAGTTCCCCTTCTATATTAAACTGGTGCAAAGGCGGCTTATAAGACGCTATTGCCAATATTCATGTGTTGATTCAAACAATCATTCATTATTACTGTAAAATAATATATATTTCCATTAAAATTTATGCAACTCATTGGCTATTGGATGCTTTGTCCCATTTACTTTAAACCAAATTTCATTGGCCATTTTAAAATTTTGCCTTCACATCATGATCTTTTAGGTTTCGGACAATTAAGGACATGTATCATAGAGTCGAGATTCAGGTCTAAACAGTGGGAGATAATTAAGAACACTTTTCGGTTGTGGTGTTGGCATCAATATCTCTGACTTAAAAAAGGAGAGTTTAGGGTTTTAAAGAAGTTATTTTAAAATATATTTAAAAAATTAACGGTTCAATAAATTGAATTGTTATGTATATCAGATTGATAAAAAAATTGATGGACAAACGCACGTAGAAGCATCTGTTTAGTGGGCAGTTTTGTGCCCTTACTATTAGAGCTAGTAAAGTTCAATTAGATATGGCTACCGACAAGTGGAAGATAAATTAAAATGGGTGTGGTGACTGGTGCTGAACAAAACCAATTAATAGGAAATGGAAATGGGTCTCTCTGGAACACTGTTCTAAAATTAAGAGACCAAACTGCAAATCCACCAGATACAACTGTGGTTCAACAATTTGCTGTCAGTAGTGTATCACCATCTAACATCATATACATCGTCAATATTAAAAAAAAAATCGATCATATTATGACAATTAAGGGTATATATGATGAAGTTAAGATTTGGGTTCAATTAGTAGGAGGTAATTTAGAATACTTTTTTATCGTGATGGAATTGGTAATTGCCGAATTACATGCAGCATAGTATTGATTAACGTAGGTGGAGTTAACGGTAGACTGAAAGTTTGAAGACATGCCTTAGAGTTCAAAGGTTTCAAGTTAAGCAGTAGTAAAACAAAGTATCTAAAGTGTA